TCGTTATGAAATCTTTGATTAATTGACATCAAGGAATAATATTTTTGTATAGTTAAATCTTTCAGAATGAAAAAACATAAAACCAAGCATAATTAAAATATACACATTTCGATAATTTATTCTAATTTTCTTATGTTTCAGTTACATATAATATATTTGAAAAAAAACCAGTAAAACCATCTTTGAGAAAGGGTTCTTAGAAGAAATCCGCCTACGATCAATGCATCCGTTTCCCAAGATACAATGGTTTGAACGACTTAAGCACAAACCAAAGTGAAAATATGTCATTTTGACATGTAGAATAAATTAGAACATGTGTAGGTTATCCTAAGATACAAAAATCCTAAAGTTGGTTGTTTTGTTTATAAAGCAAAAGGACAACTGATACTAAGTCGAGTCTAATTGAATATTTGGACATTTGGGTTCAGATGTTTAGCTCAAACTTGGGCTATGATAGGCTCGCTTATGATCATAAGTAACTTGGTTTTAGAGATTGAATTAAAGCTCATAAAACTCATTTTTAGGACTGAATGAACTCAAAAAAGACGTGAGTAAATAGGAACTCATATGAACACTCGAAATGGTTGGAAAAAAGAATAATCTTTTATGACAAGTAAATCTTCGAACATTTGCACTTAAACTTGTCCATTCTTTCTTGTTGAGCTCGACTATATATGTTTGTGATGTGTTACAGGATCCATACATGCAGCAGAAGTATAACTGTAACTTTACTCAAGATCTAAATAAAACGAGTGTGATTGACAAAACCCTCCAAACTCATTCGAGATGAACTCACCACCCCTATCTCTCCTCAAGCAGGTTTTGTGTGCATTTGTCTTTTATTCAGAAGAACATTATAATTTTTGAAGTTAACAAAAACTTCTGATTTTTCATGTAAGAAGTAAACCCAACTTTTAAAAATCATCAAAAAAAACTTAAAATATGTCATCTATTGATGTTTGAAACTACTTTGATAAGACCTCATATATCCAAATGTGCTACTTGAAGTTGCTTTGACACTCTCCAAACACCCTTCATCCTAGGGGTGTGCCTTGGGAAGGTCGGATGGGAAAATCAAAAACCCGATCGGATTTCAGAGCCCCAATTTTTGGATTTCGGATTTCGGGTTGCTTCGGATTCGGGTTGATCGGGTTTCGGGTTGAGGTTGGTCGGGTTGGGGTTTAGTTATAATGCAAAAGATATATATATCCAATCGATTTTGACGATGGATTCAATCAATTTAGAGGATTGATAAATCAATATAGTATGCTTGAAATTAGAAAAAAAAAACACACGACCAATTAAGATTTTTAGAATTTTCAAAAGATAATTAGATAAATAAGCATATTTATATAGCATTTAATATATATATATATATGTATGTATATATATATATATATATATTGGGTTTTCGGACGAATCGGATGACCAAAAATCAAACTCAACCTAAACCCAAATTTTCCCCAAAAAGTCGGCTTTCGGATTTTCGGTTTTGGGTTTGGATTTGGGTTTGGGTTCGGATTTCGGATGATTCGGTTTTTGCACACCTAGTTCCTCCTTATGTACAAGCTCTATGAGTTATATCTTCTTTAAGGTAAAACAACCAACCTTCTTCTTTTAAGTATATAATATCAAGGTTTAAAATGGTTTGGCGGCGAGGTCAAACCTCAAGCCTTACACGCTACAACGAGGACGTATCATTTTTCAAAGCGTGATATAAAACAGAAAATTTATATGTCATATATGTTTTCTATATATTATTCAATCAAATAACGATATTAAAAAATTTACGTTGATATCAAAAGAAGAAAACAATTATATAGATTATTATTATAGAAATAGTTTTTGATTAAATATACAAAATAGAACTTAGAAGAGTAATTTTTTAACATCGTTTTAATCATGAGTCCATTACGTGTATGGATCCATGAAACCTTGAGTTATGTGATAAGATAAATCCATAAAAATGTAAAGTCTAGTTGAAAGTGTAAAATTACTTTAAAAGAACTAAAAATAATATTTTCTTTTGAAAGAAGTCACGTCTTGTAAAAAAATACATGTCGAGGCGGTCATGCCTCAGGGCACCATGATGTGAGCCACATCTTACATAAACGCTAGAGCCGTATTGTAATGGCGCTCCTTTTTGAACACTGTACAATATTTATATACGTCAAATGAAACCCACGCATACACCTCACCTTTGGTTAGGTTGGAACCCATGACCTCTAAAAAGGTTTGGTTATCGAATCATGTTGCACCAAAAACCCTTTGGTAACCACAAAAAATGTCTTCTTTTACAAAAGCATTCTTTGTCCTTTAAATGGACAATGTCACATGTAAGCTTCTTTCTCCGACACAATTTCAGCTTGTACTCACGTAAAATTTTTGTCCCATAGAATCTAATATATAGAACATCATATTCCTACTCATATCGGTTTGCATAATCAATCCCCTCCTGGGATCAAAGACTTTGCAAGTTCCATGGTGTATCAAAATGGATAATCCTTCTTTTGAAGTTGTTTTATACTTAACAAATCGTTTTTAAGCTCAAGAATATAATAAACATCATATATTACTTAACGATTGCTCTGTTTTAAAGGCTTCCTCCTTCTATCTCTACCACATCCTCCTTTAAACGCTCATTGACTTATCTTTCTGAGTTACTTTTTAGCAGATGTTCCTACTCTTGTTATCCTTTTGTCCTGTTTGGTTTTGAAGTATATAACATTTATATATAACAAATGAAACTTATATACACTTCTTATCTCTAATGAGGGGTTGGAGCCCTTGACCTCTTTGGTTACCGGATACTGCTCGACAAAAAGCCTTTGATCCTTTGTTCATGAACTTAAGTTATTTGACTCCTCAAATGAACAAACAAGACAATCTTGGTTGTCAGCGATATAAGTAACTTATCAACCCGCATGTGTTGTCTTACCATTTGACTTCATCTTGTTTACCATAGTTAAGTTCGCCCCAAGAAGGTGTCTTCCTTCATGGCCAACAACTCAAACTCCCTTCTCGACGCCTCAATTTGTGCCCTAGCTTTTTATCTTTGTGGATCCTTGCAGTTTCATATTTTGCTTGACAATTAGACTGGGACATGACATAACTGAGTAAAACAAAAATGCTTTCTTTAATCCCAAATTAGGTGGAATAAAATTCAGGAATATGAGACAAGATTGATAAATTACTAAACTATTCATGTCAACTTAAATCTCTAGAACCTTCTAGAATTCTTTCACCTTCTAGAATTCATTCATGTGCCTACATTACTCTCATTATTCCAGTCTCGACGTCGTACCAAACACACCCTTATAATACTTCTGTTGTTTCATTGATTCCCAAAATGTTTTTGACGTCTCCTTATCAAGGATTGTTGAGGATCTATCTATCAATTGCCTAGGAAGTTTTTGGCCTTCATACATCTCTTTGATCGACTAATAATTATAACATTCATCAAACCTCAGAATGGATGGTTGAAAAAAAACAGACCGATGTTGAGAATATTCTAATTTTGATCTCACTCTGTTTAATTCACAACTTTCGTATTTTATCCACATTTACCTTAGTTAGATACTAAAAATAGCTCTGATACCAGATGTTGATATTTTTTCTATTTGATTGTCTTTATATAATATATTTTTTTATTTATAACTATGTCCACTTGTCTCTTTATTATTAGTTGTTTAGAATAGAACAAATAGTAAGATATAAGAGAATATCTAGGAAAGAGACGATAAAATAGCATGAGGGAATGTGTTGTTAAATACAACAAAAGAAGAGCAAACAAGTATTGTCAAACCAACTTTTGAAAATGACCACTGATGTGAATAAAACAAACGAATCCAACAAATCTCACATGAAATAAGGTCTCACACGAAATAAGGTCTGGAAATGATATAATGTATAAGATCTTAACTCCACTCCACAGAACTAATCATTATAATCAAATATGGGAACCAAACACAACAACGGAATTTGGTCAACAATTTCCAATTCCATAGAAATAAGACGAAACAAACAAACAAACCCTAAAGGGTGTTCGGTTCATGGATTTTAAAGGAATTGGAATAGATAATTCATTTGACCAAATTCCAAATCATATGTTTGGTTTACATAATGAAGATGTATAAATCTTTTGATGTCTATTGAATTTCACAAATTAATGAATTATCATTCTTTGACATAAGTAAATGAATTGAATTCCATCTCCTTTTATCCAATTTAACCAACACCGCCCATCGTTTGCCCCGACCACGACCATGTTACTACTGTCATTGTGACTCCCCCACCACCACACCCCTATTGTTATCGTCACAACCCCACCCTAGTCTCTCCCAACCCACCATGACCATCATGCCACTAGTGTCGCTGTCACAACCGCCACCCCAGTTGGGTGTGGCAGGGTGGGTGTGCGTGGGCAAGGCCAATATCCGATTGATGTGAGGGTGGGGTGGTGGGATGCGACCACCCACCACCATTACTGCTAATGTTGTCATCACAATTGCCATCCCACCTTTGAACACCACTATCACCATGTTACTAATGTTGTGTTAGAGCTACCACCCCAACCCCACCATCATGCCACTACTGTCGTCATCATAGCTACCATCCCCAACCCTCTCCCCAAACAAATATGGAGATTCCGATTCTTTTGAGAGATTACCATTCCAATTCCTACCAAGCTAAGGCATGGTAAAATTTCATTCTAATTGCTTCAAAATCAAATTTCCTTGATAGATTACAATTCCACCAAATTCCATTATGCAAACCAAACTCCCCTTAAATGTCCATAATGAGAGATTTTGCAAGTGGACCTCAAGTACACATCCTATAACCGGAAAGGGAAGGAAGCACAAAGATGAAAAATAAAATAAGAAGCTTTCTTGTATTCGTAAGTCATAATATGGTTGCAGTTGAACCTCAAACCAGCTCTTTGGTTCACACAATTCAACTCAAGAGATTCATTCAGATGACCGTGTTCGGTCGTATAGTTAAACCAACAAGCGCTTAAATTTCACATCAATATTTAGGAGAAAGATTAATAGATACACGAAGCCCGCTCTCTTTTAATGTTTTTCTTCTCTTCTTTTCTTTTCTGTTGCTAAATGTGACCGGTAATTAAATGAATATGAAGCAGAAATGAGAAAGGAAACAAACCATATTTCTTCACAAGGGCCCAAAAGGTTCAGGGAGTGTCTCGAATCCATTATCAAACAATGGACTTTCGTCAATCTTGTCATCGGCACTATGCAGCCAACTCGTGTTCTTCAAGTCCTCTTTCAGTAAAATTGCGTCATACCTGGAACTCTCGTAGATGTCCACTTCTGATGATAGCTTAGAAGAATGCGGACTTTGATCTTCTACTACTCTATTCCATGTGTAGTTTCCATTTTCACCATTAATGGAACCATCGACAGATCCTGGTGCACTTATGGCACGTCCAGGTTGGGTCCTGGAGTTGCCCGACCTAATGCTTTGAGGAAACAGTGTTGAACCCGAAAGGGGGCGTGCACCTCCATTTCTTATATCCTGTACATGAAACAAACAGATCTCTCAGCTCCAACTACTTCCATAATGGATTCATAGAGTTGACCAAAACAGACGCTATTCAAAGAGCTTTTATTTTTCTCTTCTACAATTTGGCTATGTTTCGCAAATTAGCTGATAAACTAATCACGTTTGGTAAAACCTAGTTGATAAGCTAGATGACAATGTAAAATGACATAAATGTCATAGGGTTTTTGGTCATTTATGTAAAATTAGGGGGCATAACCGGAACAGGTGAAAAACCCCTGAAGCTTACTGAAACACTATCTGAAATAGTTTATAAGAAAGCTAACTTATCGTTTATGAAACAGAGCTTTTTCAAAAAGCTCAAAAGATAAGCTAGCTTATGGTCACCAAATGTGGCCTTTATCTTTGCAAGAAAAATAGTTTCCTTCTGATAGCAGATTTCATTAATGTATGAAGCCTATTAAAGATGATTTGTTGCCTCTAACTTATCCAAGATTGAGGAAAAGATCATGGAGTATTTTGACATCCTAACATACGTAGCAATATGGCACTAAAGGAGAAGGGTATTCATACCATATGTTTAATTGCCATATCCAGTGATTTCTTCGAGATATTCCTCCCAAAGCCTGTACCATTCTCTGAATTTGAAGACTTTATAGGTCTTCTTGTGAGCGACTCAGGCAACTGTGAAGTTCTTCGAGGCTCTAAACTCTCCGTCACATGCCCATTGGCATGGGGGCGCCCCCTTCCGGGGGGTTCTGCAATCCGTCCCCTGCTAACAATGGGGGATGAATGTCTTCTTGTGATACTTGCAGTGTTTGAAGTCTCTAGATTTCCCTTCACGACTGGTCTGGACCTACCAGCAGAGAGAGGCCTATCTGGCAAAGTTGTTCGAAGATTTGGTGGTGTTTCGTGGGGGAAATCAGGGAGATTGATAGGCTGTGGTGGTGGGCGTAAACGTGGGCTAGGAGAGCTTGGTCTGGAAGTGGACCCCACATTGCGGCCATTTGAAGATAACCCACGTCCACCAGAAGCCAAAGATGGGGTAGATGGAGAGAGAGAAGGAGTTAGGCTCCTACGAGTGGGAGTTGATGGCCTGGAAGGTGGTCGAATGGTGGGTGAAGTCAGGTTTCCAGGTGTTTGTGGTCGGGAACTAGGAGTTGAAGGTCTTGAGTTTTGAGAAGATCTTGTTGGTCTCTCATTGGAAGCAGTGGTGGGAGATGGCCGGGTTCTAGAAGGAGTTGAGGCTCGTGATGGTGTTGTACGGGTAGATGGGGTAGAGAGTCTTGCTGTTGAGGAAGAGCGATTGGTTGGGGTGGATGGTCTTATGTAAGAAGAGACAGAAGCAGAGCTGGTGTTTAGAATGTTAGTGTTTCTGCTAGAGTAGCTTGTATATTGGGTGGAAGAGATGGATGAGCGAGTCACCGAACTGCTTCTTGCTGGTCTTGAAGGATGGCTGCTCTCAGATTGAGATACAGAAAGCTGCAATTGAGAAACCATGTCTTTAAACCAACTTCATTGCATCAAAATTGACAAGTTAAAAGGATAAGGAAGATGGAAGAGATATATAGGGGCTGGTTGAAATGAGAAGTGTAAATATTTTGAGAACATGGGAACCAGCTATTCATGATTTATTCACGGTGATATTCATGATGAAAATGCTTGATATCATGAATAACGAAAATGCATCATATTCATAATTATGGAGGGTTATTCCTCATGAACAATACATGACATAATTGGTTCCTAGGTTCTCAAAATATTTATGGTTCTATTTAAACTTTCTCCGAGAATCGAGATATATATCTACACTGCAAGTCCCATAATTCAAGAGGCCATCAGCAAAAGAATTGAACATGCATGGATCAACTAAGGAAAATGGAGAACCATGAACCAAGAAAAATCAAAACGTTATACCACTTCAATTTATCATGGGAGATGTTAGGATTAGAAAAACCAATCGGATGGAAAGAAACACTAAGCATTTGGCTGCTTGCCCGTGGTGTGATTTCATCAGGCAGATGCAAGAAAACTAGAGAAAAGTAGACTTATAACCATCAAAAGCGTCAACTCCTACTTGCTTATTCCAAATTATAAACCCTAATAGCAATTGCAATTTGCATCATTCTTGCCATTCGCTTAGAAAAATTGTGCTAGATATACTGTATGGTTAGAGGAAAGTTCAAAAAAGCTGCTCTTTTTCTGGATATTCTTATCATTTGGTGCAAGGATGATCATTATACTAAGGTACTGCTTTTCCATGGTGTACACTCTATGTATATAGGAAAAACAATATTATAGAATTTAATTTTGGTCTGTGTTCATGGATCTTGCAATAAAACATCTTGTATGAGCAAACAGCAACATCAATATCTGCATTAGAAAGCAAGATTGCAGATCACGGTAGAATCAGAAAACACACCCTTGAAGTCTTGTTTGTAGAGCTTGATCTAACCGAAGACCTGCTTCTTGCAGTGACTGGTGTTGGTTGAGACCCTTTCGCATCCGAAGTAGGAAAGAGAGGCGTTCCTGGGGGAGTGAGGAGCCTGTTAACAGAAAAGATGATACTTAACTATTCGCAATTCAAATCTGATAATTTTAAAAAATTAAGGTGAATAAGATTTAAAAACTGGTCTTATTATGTCCTTAAGTGTACTCGTGCAAACGTATGACATCCACCTATCAGTTATCCACAAGCCACCTTGCTGTAAAAATCTTGAGGAGATGCTTTGAATTTCATGGAAGAAAGTAAAAAACTTTAGCCTGACCTTGCAGAAAGGCAAACAGGGTCCATAGTAGACGAAGTATAAAACACAATAGTAACTATTCATTTCATTTCCTTATAGATCAGCTAGAATCAGTTATCGGGGATCCACTTAAAATAGAATTAATTATGGTGTTTTGGGATCACTTAAAATAGACAAAGTATTACACACAATGGTAACTATTCCTTTGCCCAACAATTAAGAGGCGGCTAAAAGCATTCCTTTTCCACTTACAAAACACACCAAAACATATTTACATGTAAAAGGTAGCAATTTTTAGGGTGAATTTCTTAGCAGAGCTCAAAGGATTAGCTCCAGGTTCTGGGAATTATGATTATTAACAAATATCCTACAATCTACCTTACCAACAGTTCTGAAATGTTACAAGAAATCCTCTTGCATACGACTTGATAAGTACAATAAACAAAAAAAGCATGAGGTAAATGGCTATGCCAAGGCTTGGGGAACCTTATTTCTTTGTGTGGCTTGTTTTTCAAATCATAAGAGAAATGATAGAATGAATAGCGGTCCAGGAATTTTTGTTGTCTTGGAAAATGAGGCGATCCCATGTTTGCTAAGCCATAGAGTCAGGTTCAAGAATTGTATGGAGAAGGTCATTAGATATTGTACCCTTGATCAATTGGAGGATGATGGCATCAAGACAATTCCAGTGTTCCCTATCAGTCTCAAGTGACCTGAGAGGCCTTGGCATTCTCCGTAGGAGGACGATGTGATCTATTACCTGATATGCACGTGCAGTGATTTTGAAAAGCTCCACCCAGGAAGATGATTATTGGTGTTGGAGATCGCAAGAGCAGAGAATGGAAATGCGGAGTTTTTGGTGTGTCTGACTGCCGGTCATTGAAGGAGGGTGTATGGGCGGAGGAAAGGCACCGAGGGGGGAGGGGGAGGGGGGATAGGATTTCTGAAGAAGAGAGTAGAAAAAACCTAGGCTTTGATTACTACAATAGAATGACTAATCGTGTTGGGAAATAAACCTAGAGCATATTTACGTATTCTAACTACTACCAAGGAAAACAATGAGAGGAGAATGAAAAATTGCAACCTAAGGGTCATGACTTATGAGTATGAGAGCTACCAAAACATCCTTTGGCAAAAATCCAAGGGGAAATTGTTGTGTACATGGACTTCCAAGGAGCCTTTGGGCACCTGATCAGGCTTTCTTTATGCAACTGACTTAGATGAACAACCAAGGTAAACAAAATTAGCATTAAAAGGAAGTGAATCTTTAACACTGGAACATAGCAAAATCAACATTTGCCACATTCTGAACTTGTAATGGAGATAATAATTAGCTAATCAACAACAATTCTTGGAACAACAACCAACAAATATAAAATAACAATGGGTAGTTACGTAGTCTAGTGTCATGCTGTAAAATCTTACTAGCCTAATGGACGCAGGACGGTGTCCAATAGTGCACAGCTGTAATCGGATAAGTAGATGTAAGTAGTTCTACTAACAAGGTATAAGATTTAACAGATCTGTCATTAAATGCATGTGACTCCGCAAAAGAAAAAAAGAAGTTAGATCTGAAATAAAAGCAAGATCACGGCATCCACTTAATTGCTTATAACAAGTTACTAGAAAACTTACCAATCGTAGTCATGTTTTCCCCCTTCGTTAGATGACAGCATGTCATCTAATATGCTCTTCGCAGGTTTTGCTGATCCAACTGAAAGTCTCGCTAATCTCACTTGCACTGTTAAATATAAAGCTAGAAAAGATCAATTATATATATATATATATATATATATATATATATATATTCAAACGTAAAACAAGCAGTAGTATTAATAAAAGCTAAAGAAGTGATAAACAACTGAAACCCTAGCATAAATCCAAAGCAGAAGCATATTATTGGGGAAAAACGTTAAAAAACTTATTAGAAAACGAAACTAGTCAAGCATAAAACTGGCATAAACGACATCGTTCCCAGGATTAATCCCCAAACTACTTGAGACAACGCCAGAAAAGCTATCGTTTTCACAAAAACGATATCCTGTTTATAGCACTCCGACAGAAAATCGAATAAGCAAATCACACCAATCAAGTGTAACTACAAAAAGTAATTAGATTAGAAAATTAGATAACAGTGTACGTACAGTCAGATTCGTCGGAAGAGGCGAGTGGGAGACTAGTCCGATTACGAGAGAAGAGATCCATGTTGTTGTTGCTGTTGAAATTCTCAGCAGCATTGTTTTTGGTGAAAGACATCGCTCGTCGATGAGGCAATATTCCGTTGGTGGTAGCATTATGATTGATGTTATTACTATGATTCCGACCACCGGCGCCGATCAGCGAGTCCTTGGAAGAACTCCGATTCATCATATCATACATCAAACGAAAACTAAGAATTCATGGAATGAAGCAGAGATACAGAGAAAGAGAGAGAGAGAGAGAGAGAGAGAGAGAGAGATCTGGTTGACAAAGATGAGCAGCGAGTTTACGGGTGCAGCCATGTGATTCATCCATCTCCATTGTGTGTGAGCTTCTTTCTTTAATCCAAATCCATCTATAAATCGGATCTAAAATATTAATAATTAAAAAAATACCATATTATTTTAATTATTATTTAAATGCAAACAAAAGATTTTATAAGTTACGAATAATCATTTTATCGTATTAAAAAGTGTGTAACTTTAGAAATAATAAAAAAGTCATATTTGCAACGTAATTTATTTTAATTTATTTTCTATATGTTGTAACAACAGCGTCGGTCAAATTATTTATAGGTATATAAAAGTATTTTTAATAATTTATATAAAAATATAGAATAAAAAATCAAAATCTTTAAAATGAATTACGTTTAATTTTAACCAGTTTCTTATTTTTAGGATTTTTATATTTATTATATTATTAAAATATTTTATAAAGTTATTATTTTAGTATGTTTTTTTAAATTAAAAGGGTACTCACACAATACAACGAGATACATCTCGATTTTATTGTTTCCTTACTAAAATAATATGTCGATGCCTCTAGTAAACTAAAGACATCATTATTTCAATTTAAGTTATTGTATTTTTTTCCTACTGCTGAATCTATGGGCAGGCAAGAGGCAACCTGACGAACTGAAACATCTTAGTAGCCAGAGGAAAAGAAAGAAAAAGCGATTCCCGTAGTAGCGACGTAAGAAGGGGTAGAGAAAATTCATCGAGCCAATGTTCGAGTACCATGCGCTACGGTGCTGAAGTATCCCATGTCATACTCTGAAAAAATACGTTGATGGGGGACGGGCATACTATGTGTAATGTTTCACTCATTTACGATAAATAATAACCATGAATGGAGAGCTTTCCCCTCTTTTCCGCCGACTCTTTGGCCTTAAGAACGTTGGTTTTAAGGCACTTCTCGGACTGAGAAAGAGGAACGGCTTGACGTCAGGCCCGTCCCTTGGCCTGTTACATATGAGATATAGAACAGGGCCCCCAACATTTTGGGGCCCAAATTTTTCACAGGCCAGTCAATGGTATTAGTCGATTTCAGGCCCTAGCTAGCACTGCGTAACGAAGAACGAGAGGCGTGGCGAGAGCGATACCGGATACCTCGCCTCGATCTCCCCTCTCCTCTCTATCTTATCGAGTATCGATTGTCGATTGAAATCTCCAAGATGGCTGATGATTCGGTTTCAGATATGCAACGGCAACGTCAACAACGGTTAGATTTTAGAGGATTTTTCTTATTTTGTATAAGTATAACATGTTCGGTCTATTTGTCGATTACTCGTTACTCGATTGCTATTCATCTCTTCTCAAATCTCATAATCTCAACGGCTCAACGATTGGTCGATTACTCAATTGCTATTTGCTAATTTGCTTCCCATCATCACAAAATCTCAATTCTGAAATTGGATATTCGTATCTTTGTTGGTTGGACTCTTGGTCGATTTTAACCTAATTCCTAAAGTGAGGTAAATTYCACTCAGAAWTCTTTAACACATGATTCTTGTTATCTTGTATSATTTTTGTGTAAGAAAATTGAAAACTTGTTTATTGTTTAGACTTTAGAATCTCAAGTTTTTTACAGTTCTACTCTAGATCGATTGCTGCTCTCTGGCCTCTGCTACCTTTATCTATTTCATGGTTACTTATGTAGTTGTGTTATTATTTATTAATGAAGCATTCAGCAACATTATTTGTAGCAATACAGTACCACACATTGATGAATAACTAGACAAGCACACAATATAAATGCTTAGAAACACTACGAAAATAGGCCTTAACGAAGAACCAGGAGAACAAAGTATAAACACTGTTATAACATCAGAGTATAGAAACAAATCATTTGCTAAAACAAATGTTCACTTGAATAGCTCCCAATCCAAAATTAGTTAAGAGACAGAGAAAACATATTTGATGCTAAAACAGATGCTCACTTAATTTCTGCTATATTAGATGAAACTTTGGCTGCCCACTGGTGTTGTGGTGCATAACTCAGATTTGATGCATACAGTACAACCAGCTGATTTTTTGATATATATATATATAGTATAACAGGGCCTCCAAAAAGATTGGGACGGCCCTGCTTGACGTTGCATGTTAGAACTCATTAAAGTCCGATTCGCATCATTATGCTCGATAAAATCCTTCCATCCCAGAGCATATCCATTGTATCTGAATATTCTTTATCTACTGATATATTACAGTTTTATATGGTTTTGAGAAAGTGAAAATATTTTTATTTTTGAATAAAATATATATTTGAAGATATTGTAATTAAAATTTTGAAAAGAGAATATCGATATTGGTATAAAACTAA